CGGTATAAAGGCGCAGTGAGGGGGATACTTTAGATCGCTTCATGAATGGCAGAAGGAGCGGTCGAGTGAGGGAGACATGTTTTAGCATAGCACGGCGCGAAAACCAGTTGGAGTCGGGAGCAGCGGAAAACGCAGTGGGAAGGTTTTTTCCCCGTAAACAAACATGCCGCGTTCCGTCCGCCGCTACCGTCCGAGCAAGGAGGTTCTTCGCCAAATAAGGCGATATGTGCCTCCTCGCCGTCCAAGGAAAGAAGACCTTGTTCGGAAAGTGCTGAGCGATCCTTGCTGTATGCTGCAGCTCGCCGAGCAAATTCTCCGAGAAGTCGCTCTGCGCAGCCTCCCTCTTTGAGGCTCCTATGTTTGATACCCCAACGGCCCTCTTAAGGGCCAACAAGACTTATTGCGTTTTAAATGAATATAAAAACTTTGGAAACCTATTTTCCATTTCTAAGTTTGAAGTTACGAAAAACCACAGAGTATTTTTCTCCTAGAATAGAATCGCGGAACCAAGAAGACATCGGAAATAATGCTGTTGAAACTGGAACTTCAAAGGACGTTGGAAAAGAGAACAAAATCAGAAAATTGTAGAAAACCTACTTTTAGCAATTTTTTGTGATAACCTTCATACATTGTTTTTTTCTGCTGGATTGGTTTTCATGTTCAAAACGTTTAGACTGAAAAAAACGATTGGGCTAAACATGTCCAAGAGGTAGCTTGAATTTGAAAAAAAAAATGAAATTTTCGCGAGAACGTACTTTTTAGGAATAAAAATGTTGTGCGCAAGTTTCTCGGAGAACTTCATACATTTAAGAGTGAAAACTATATTAATTGAAATGTATAAAGGGAAAATTCACAATAGCGAAAATTTTATGGCAACATTTTGTAGTCAATTTTTTCAGACTTGAAAAGCCAGAGAGGCAGAAAATGAGGCGAGACACGCACGCGGTTCTTGACACGATTTTATTTTAACCGTCAGCGGCTATTTAAAAAGCTCGATCACCGCTCTTTTTGTATCTACTTCACTATTTCTTGGTTCAATATAAAAAATAACACTGGAAAAATTAAAAAGAAATGAAAAAGGGGATAAACGAGCTTTCCAAATAATCGCAGAGGGTTGAAGTGAGCTTGTGCCGAAAAAACCGCACACACTCCCGCGCGTTCCTCCGCCTTTCAAGTCAGAAAGCATTGACTATAATATTGAAATCTTGGAAAGCCGCAAAAAGCAACAACAGGCTTTCAGAAATGATATTCCAGAGAAAGTTTCAAGTG